TAATGGTCGACTCCACAAGCAGGGAAACATGTTACTGAGTATACTTTTGAAGTGCACATTTGGCAACGGAATCAACTATCGTACTAAAATATCTCGCTATGTGGCAGTACATTTGCTTGTCATTGTAACCAAATACTAATACCTCAAAAAGCATCAAGCTCCATAAGAGTTGCCCACAAAGTTCAAAGTAGCCTTCAATTTGGATTGTGCATTTTATTAATATACTTCGTGTAAGTGTTTTGTGGCAAAGCATCTGTACCGCTGGCTAATGACACTGCTGATAGATGGGAATGTATTCCTTTGTAATGTAACGAAATGATCCACCAGAAGGTGATGCTGGCTCCTCTATATTCGGATTCAACGTGACAGATATTTCGCTCTGGTACTCGGACCCCAATTTTCGTCTTTTGTACTGAAAATATACAGAACTACCAGAATGTCTGTAATGGTAATGTCCCTATAATGGCAGGCCGTAAGTGCCACACAGTCGTATGAGGAGAATGTCAAACTTGAATACCACTGTAGTGTATGTACATGGTTCTATTAGCTCCAAGGACGCGGGGTCACAGAGGTGTCTAATGACTTGTGTATATACTGGTCTATTCTGAGGTGTTGTTTATATACATAATGTATAGCACTGCGATGCACCTTTCCTACCAAGACCATTTGGAATGTTAGATAATTGACCGTATATTGCTTTACTTCGTACCACTAGTATATCTAATGGCTGTGTGGTTAAGTGTTCCGAAAATAGTCCTCGAGAAGAAATCCCACATTGATGAAAAACAAGTATTATATATCGACAAACACGTAAAATATTGTGTTAAGATTAAAGCGTCCATTTATCTTCTTACCAAAGTGAGAGTTGGGTGGACTATGAATTATTTAAACAACATATTTATACTCTTAAGAAAACCAGTCATACCAGACACTCCTGTTTGCATATTTACATATTTGTTTTCACAAGAACCCAATCGTCACTATCCGACCCCGCCATGATGTTGGTAGAAACCTACAAGGGTTACCCATGTACGACCGTCAGCGCCTGAGTCTACCAGCCATTGCAGAATACATGACATACAGTTCCTCCCTTCTATTACATGACTACATATAACACAGATGATGTGCATGGCACTGCCAGTATCAATGACATCGGGACATGATCAATGTTCATTTCTCCTCACTTAACACCTCCTTTTGCGTATTTCATGATACACAAATCACAATGAAAAAGAACTTTACGCATTAAAACAGAAAGTGAATGAAAAACAAATCATACATGCAATGGTGATATTCTTCTTGCGTCTCTTTGTTTGATCAAGACAGCTTACCACGGACTGCGAATACATGTAAACATACGTGAAGACGACATAGACACTCTTCTTTACTTTTATTGCATTTCAGCTGAATCGCTCTACACCGGGTGCAAGGTGGCCGAGTTGTCGAAGGCGCGCAATTTGCTTGGGCAGAAAGCCAGAATCATTTGTTCGATTCCCGGTTGGTCCATGTCATGGTTCTAGGTCTGTCAGCTCTATACCCGAGTTCACCAAGGTCTGTCAACTCTATACCCGAATTCACCAAGGTCTGTCAGCTCTATACCCGAGTTCACCAAGGTCTGTCAGCTCTATACCCGAGTTCACCAAGGTCTGTCAGCTCTATACCCGAGTTCACCAAGGTCTGTCAGCTCTATACCCGAGTTCACCAAGGTCTGTCAGCTGTTTACCCGAGTTCACCAAGGTCTGTCAGCTCTATACCCGAGTTCACCAAGGTCTGACATAACTACATCTTATATTCGGCAATAATCCAACTCACCCACTCATTACATTGAGTTTTATTCCGTATTAAGACCTTTCTCCCAAAATACATTCATGTGCTCCATATACTATACACACACACACTAGGGACACACACACACGTACACACGTACACACACACACACACACACACACACACACACACACACACACGCACGCACGCACGCACGCGCGCGCACACACACACACACACATGTATGCACATTAAATATGTTTGAGCAATGTAAGTTAGCAACTATTTATAGTTGAGAGATTAAGACTTTTTGACAACATAGGCAGTGATAATACAGTTAATCATTCAATCAACACGCACATATAACCTGGTGTAAATGATTCTTCTGATGGCAATGAAATGTTTGCTATACAAAAGGCCGGTCGTTAATCAGTCTAGGTTTAAGACCAAGTTTAGTACCCAACACGTGTCAAATATCTCTCGGTATTTGCACGCATTAAAAAGAGGTTGCATTCTTCTGTTTATTCCTGAAAGAAAGATTTTACTGACAGATTATCATGACTGGAACCAGGGACATATATCAAAATGCAGTCTCGCATTAAAGCATGATAAAATATGGTGAAATACCACCATTTTCTTTCATTTATAAACTAACATAAAAGATATGTGTGCTTTAGCATTATACTGGTTATATAACGAACATTCTTGAAAATCTGACATGACCGAATTTACTGAACGGCTCAACTATCCGATTCAGGTATACGATCCACATTTTACTAGATCTGATAGAGGTCTTATGTACGTTGGAAAACTACTTTCAGAACGATGAATGGCCATATTGATCCCAGCAATGTTGATTCAATGAATGAAATGAGTCTTGTCTTGACTGCGTCTTGTAATAAACATTGAGAGAATATTGGTCAATAAAATGAAACTGTTTTCATGCACATCTGAATAAGCTAGACCAAACAGTGGCCATCTTCTGCTGTAGAGGGGTAATTTTTATCGACATTCTGCATGTATAGGAAAGCACCCAACAACAATATTTAATTCACATTTGTGAAAACGACTCTGGTAACTAAACTCCAGTCAATCTCGACCGACATCCTTTAGCCCTCAGACCTGGGGTTAATGTTCGACTTTGGCATCATGAATTGATGTTGTAGCTGACGTCTCCCCAGAAATACAGGAAATGTTGGATAAGGTGTCCTTAAACCATGACTTGTCTTTACGACCAAGAAAAGCATTATCAGAACCAAAAACCACAACAGAAGTTTTGTTTTTCGACAGAAACTTCACGACTGTGACACAGTATTAGCGGGTAATGGCCGGACGAGAAAAAGCTCCGAGTCAGGTTGTCACTGAACAAATCCTACTTCTACCTGTGACGCCAGATAGATTGTGAGGCGAGAGGAAGCAACACGAAGCACTACTGACTGTTACGTGTGGTTGACCTTATCTCAGAGAAAAGGGGACTGAGTGGTTTTTGGAATTTCAAATCTTAATTTAATTGCAGCTCAAAAACATTGGTAGATGCACGTGATGGTAAAATAAAACCAATTGTCTGTGGCACTTACAACATCCCGCTAAAGCAGAGCGCCAGGAAGGGAAACTAAAGGTACCATTCTTTAAAGTCTTGGCGCATCCGGGGATCGAAAAATCGACCTTCCGCTCTCCGCTTTATCTACGAGATCACGGAGGCTGTCTATATATAACATTTGTATCATTTGGGATTACAGTTTCTCAGTAAATTACAGATTCAAGTACTTTTTGGTTTGAGTCTGGATTCGAAGTCACACTCTCAGATCCAGGCACCTAATCGACAGCAGGCAAAGCAGCGATCTAACCCCCACAGCCATCGCGGAGACGTATAAGGATCGATTGTGTATGAAAAGATGTACTGACTACACGATGCCACAGGACACTGTAGATAGCATACTTAGTTGAAGAAATAAATATTGGTGTATTCCTTTTACACATACAAGCACCATATAAACAAAATATAAACTAGAAAGAATATGCTATTCGTTCCTTACCCGTGCATTTTAACTGAGCTAAGCCTTTACTGAATGATGCAGTGTGTTTACAACTCATGAACACTGGCAAGCTGCTTCCGTCAGTGGACTAGGTCACTCGTCCTTCACATCTTGATCTGCCCATTCAATCGGCAATTACGAACAGCGCAGAACATTCAATTTATTGTTGTAATGAAACGTTACAAATGTGACCTTAATGTTCTCAGACACCCCACCATGTTCAGATACCGTAGTAATGATAACCCAATATACATGAACCACAAAGGAACTTGAATCCACTCATGGATCCTCAATGCGGGGTACATACAGTGCAACTAAAGTGTTCAAATGATGACACAAACACGAGATGATTCTACTAATGTGTATAAGTAGATTCATTTTAATTTGACATCCAAACGTTAAGACAGATTCAATAAGACGAAATTACTAGAGAGACCAAACCTTCACATCTTGAATCCAAGATAGTTTGATATTTCATTGGTTCGCGATGTTATCGCCTTCATGGTGCTTCTGTCTCCATTGGCCCTCTCTTGGCCGTACAGTTGATGAGATGCTTCTGCAATGTTACCATGGCTTGCCGGATTACGAAGATACTGTTAATGTTTGGCCATACAGTTGAGGAGATGGTTCACAAATGTTACCATGGCTTGCCGGATTACGAAGATACTGTTAATGTTTGGCCATACAGTTGAGGAGATGGTTCACAAATGTTACCATGGCTTGCCGGATTACGAAGATACTGTTAAAGTTTGGATACGTCAGAAAAACGGACAAAAATACATAATCAAAGTTTTGGAATAAAATTTTCATGTGCAAAGTACAAATTACTTCTCTAAAACACAATATATTATTGGACGTGAATCTCAAATGGGAAGGATATCTCCGTAGTCTGATACATCGCCATGTGCAACACAACCGACCAGTTTCATCATTATATCAATAAAATAGTCCTTTATAAAAGTAAAGGATACCTTTGATTAAATATGTTAAAACAACAAAATTCTTCAAACACAATTTCTAAATTAGATATATTGGAGTTATTTTCCTCATCGTATATATATCACAAACATATAACACATTTTGCAGAAAGAAGACGCTGAAAGGAAATTACGCCACTGGACTATTATTCTACTAGGACTGTGGTGGGAACGCCCTTTCTGTTCCACCATACTGATATTCCGTCTGGCTTCACAAATTGGCCACTTTCCTCAACTTGATGTCAATAGTTCTTAAGACATTATCCGGTCATGTGACCCGTGGGCATACCACGTGGTGGCGAAACGTTTAAAACTAGTGAGTCGCTGTTGTAGACGCCAGTCTCCGTCACAACACCTATTGCGCAGCTCCTCTGTCTCCTTGAACTGGCGGACAGGGATATTGATTCCTTCGACGCTCCAGCCGTCAGCAGAGGGAACTTTCCAGGAGTTACAACATAACTTTCAGAACATTTCCCGGATTTTCTACCATGTTTGGTAACTGAACAGTGTTTGTTTTTTAACGTTATTCTAACCTGCGTGTCTTGGATATAAATAAAGTGACAATAAAGTCCATGTGCAATGCAGAACACTACAGGAAATATTCCATATAGGGGTAGTTTTACCTGGCCTACCCACGACGTAGGAAGCACCCCATATACCAGCACTGATGTGAACACGACCAGTAAAGTCAACGATACCTACGACATCAACGACTATTATGATTACGACTATGATGTAGCGGTGACATCTCTGCCGCTGGAGGAACTCATCCCAGTGTCGCTTGCGTACAGCATCACCTTGGTGTTTGGACTGTGTGGCAACTTCCTGGTCATCTTCGCTGTGTGCAGGTACAAGAGTCTACGGAGCATCACCAACGCCTTTCTAACCAGCCTTGCATCAGCTGACCTGCTTCTCGTGCTCATCTGTGTCCCCGTCAAGGTGAGAGGTGTGCTTAGTTTCACACTTGCAGACCGAACAATGAATGAATGAATGAATGAATGAATGAATGAATGAATGAATGGATGATGGATGAATAATGAATGAATGAGTGAATGAATGAATTTCTTTGATTTCTCTAGAATTTTCATCCGAACGTTTACAATATCCTTGTTGTTACTCAGAGCAAATACATGATGCTAGTGTGTACATTATATAAATATGAGCCCCAGAAACACAAGGTGTATTAGCACATATTCTGTACTGCATATGTATACAAATCACAGCTATTGCTATTCAGAAGATGAAAAGAGAGGATGGTCTAATACATTTTTCAGATGATGGACATATTTACAGAATAAGAATGATACACTTTAACTTTCCCAAGGAGGTTGGCCTACAATTCCAGATAATATCTGTTCTGAATCTGAATAGTGCAAGCATCTCATTTTAATCCAAACGTTCAATTTGAGCATATTTTTCAACATACAGTTTGACAATGAGGTTGGGGAAGAACTCATTTCGTTGAATTATATAACAGTATAAAAGTACATGTTTGTCATAATCAAAAGCATGTCTGCTACATTTGGAACATTCTCGAGATGTAATTGGTCTGGAAGCTATCTTAAGAGATGCAATATCTAAGATGAGGATTAGTTAATACTCATTTCCATAGTATATGCAGCTTAAGTTTTGAATGAGTTGACCTGTAACTGACCAGATCTCCACCTATTTTCCTCATACAAGGATATTGCGTCACTTACCATTTTTCTCCATTCGTTTTTGCAAAGGAATGGTCCAGTACTGATAAAGGTCGACATGACATTTTTAAGATTGTATTTACAAGCCAGTCTCGCTACCAAACACTCCGCGTTACAAATGTTATTGTCCTACATGTTTATAAAGGAAATAGTGAAATGTGTACCCTTCGATCTTCACGTGATGAAGTACACACGGTACTGCCCCGTGTTCATGCTTCATCCAGTACTAAGCAGTAGCACAGTTTCCTAAAATGGTGTCTTAAAACATCTAGGCATGAAAATCCCCCCCCCCCCCACATTTTTGTAACATTTGGATGCGAATCCAATAACTGAATTATGGTGGCCTGAGCGTATTTTGTATTCATGTAAGCAAAACTCGTACGCCTATTAGTGTCAGTCTTGTATTTCTGTAAATTATCCATGTACGCATATATCAGTGGTGGGTCCATATAATTACGGTGGCTCAGAACATATGACCAAACAAATCTTGTCAAAGTACTGATCATGACGTATAATATGGAAGAGGCGATAGAGGGTAAGGTTGAATACGATTTGATGCTGTATTACTCGGGAAACAAGGCATGTGATTAAATATATGGAACCATCTGCGAAAGAAATATCCTGTGACTGAAACCAACGAAATAGCTGCACCCAACCCACGCCACACATTTTATCGACCTCCATCTTCAAACAATGTCCTAACACAACCCTGAATTCCTCCAACCCACGTATTTATGTATCAACATATGCAGCAAAATGAGGAAAACATGCATCAAGCGGAATCATAAGAGGAATATCTTTGAAATACACGGTCAACACCAACCGTTTCCTGGAACTAATGCAGTCAGTACTTTCAGTACCAACGAACGAAGATTAAGCTTTGTGCACTGACATTGAATAATCACGACACACGTTCTAAACCGATTCATTCGGATCTGGTTGGTGATCACAATAACAATCCGACTAATACTTGAAAAATATAAGAATTTAAAAAAGAGAAAAAGACATACTAAACTAATATAAGACGCGAAACAGTCACGTGTTTCGTACTGCTTTAGAGTTGCATACTTCGATCTATCTGTTCTGTGTGTCCTTAAACAAAACGTATTGTGTAACTCCATCTAAGTTTTAAATCTTTACACGGTTTGTGATATATTTCATATATCGTATTACAGACATACAGAAGGGAACGCACATTTGTGTTATGTCCCATTTTTACTCATATATGCACCTGGGCGACATGAAATATGTATATTTGTGTACATGGATGGTGAACCTGTCCGTATTGCCCATTTCACTGCTGCTATTATCAAGGTTCAGTTATCAATGCATATTTATGATGCCTTTAAAATAGAAAAGAGAGAGAGAAAAACAGTACGTAAATCTATATCCCCCTAAAGGAATCCACGTGGGAAGTCAAATAATGAACAAAACAGTTGTCTGTGTGCTTACAAAGTAGTGAATACTCTTTGGGTTATAACGTCATGCAAGATATTTACATACGTTACTTTCGCCATGTGTATCTGACATGTGGCGGAAGAACGCATATGCTTTCTATGATCTGCAACATCTTCGTCCCCATGATCTGACTATGGACCTGAGCTGACGAACATAGTGATTCCCTAGGCACTGCTGTAATTACCCACTTGACTATAACCGAATATATATACCCCCTCCCAGCAGGCGTTGTTAACAAGTATCGTGACAGTGTTTACTCTCTGCAGGCATGGTGGTTCTGGTGGAGATGATGACAGGTCCCTTTTTCTAAACATATTTCGCAAGTAGAAGAACGTGGCAATGGCAGTACAAATATGTTATTTACTATTTCTTCTGTCTGTCAAATTGCTTGGAATTGCAGGACAGATTGCTGTAAGGTGATATCTTGCATGTTCTCGGTATAATTAGACTTTCTGAAATTGTGCTATATCTTCTTCACGTAACGAAATCCAACCTTAGAAAATAGTAACGTTGTAGCCTTTCTTATCCACACGATAATTATTTCAAGAACTACATGTTAAATGTTATCTTTTGAATATTACATATCGAATGTCAGATGCAAAATATGTGACATAAAATAGCATGTGAATATATGCACGATGTGTATCAATGTGTATGTTATAACACTGTTATGTGTTTCCCTGTCTATAGAATATGTACATCGTAGTGTCGGACTGCTTCATTGAAAGATTGGTACTTGACTGCAACGAAATTGACGTACTGCCTGTCGGACCCAGTGCATGATCGAGAATTGCAATGAAAAAATACCTGCGATATTTAAGGCAAAAGAGAAACATTACAACAGTCAGTTGTATTTTCATGCTGCCAGACATAGTTGCCAACATGACTGCATCCACTGTTAAACCTGACGACAGAAACAGAAGGGAGTTCTCGGGACATTTGGCTCTGGGCTAATGCCGAGATGACGATAAGGCGTCTGGGAAGCCTAGTTACCACGACTTTGTTTGTAAACGATATTGTTGATGACCAATGTCCGATGGTCAGCCGATGAGGCTATCAACATCGTGGTGGTCACTTTGAGCTGGTCATCCCCGTTTGGACGCTAAAGATGGTCTTGTCCGAAGAAGATTGGTCAGTATTACCATCAGTTCTTATTCGTTTCAATAGAAGTCTAAATATCTGAATTGCCACACGATTGACCAACACGGACGGTCCATTTCATATGATAGATACGAGAGGTGTAGAGCCACTTCTTTTTCTTCATTCTTAGGCACAGCTAATTTCCAATTCAACCTTTGAAAAGAACCTAAAATTGTCTCACATTATAACATAAAAACATAATAAGCTTGCAGCAGTAGATAAACAGAAAAAAATGGAAGAATACCTGTACCTTTCAGGAATATACTTTTAGGTAGTCCGATGGGAGCAAAAAACAACAACAACAAAAGAAACGTTAACAACATGAAATCTGAAACGAGTTGCACCATGGAGACAAGCAATGCCCCAAACACAACCAAAACAATCTGCTGGGTTATGTAGCTACTGTAGTACCCGGATCTCCCCGGAACTTGAGTTGGAAGTCAACGTTTTTTATAAACTACAAAGATATACAAGAAAATCCCTACCCCCCAACCTCCCTCCTCAAGAAAAACAATAGGAGTGAACACGTGATTGAAATATTACGTCAAAGAGCAACGTATAATCACAATGCCACGTCTCAAGAAAACTTGACTGCATGATCGAATAACATGCACAAAAAGAATAAGTCGCCACACGCATGCGCTGTTACAGACAGATAGCGAGACCTAAAAATGATGGACCTCCTGTAACCACCACCCAGAGAAACACACGAATAGTCAATCTGAGGAATCGTATTATCACCATGACAAAAGCTGAAATAGTTATTGTTATATTATTTGCTACACAGTGTTGGTGCAAGAGCAAAACTTATACAAATGACCACAACCAGTCGTAATTCTGACACAGGACACAGGGTTCAAAACCTGTAGTTGCGGGGAAAATATACCGAGTCAAAAAAGAAACTTCACATTCTTTCTGCAGGGCACTATAAAAGAACAAGAGATGGCAAGATGGTTAAATTGTTATTATGTCATTGCTGAGATCTGTGTGATGTACTCGATACACTGACAGTGCCATAATCAGTTCCATTAGGCTACACCGCCGTTCCAAAACATGGGTATACAGAATGTCAAGTCACAAGAATAAAAATGCGAAATCTCTCAGTTCAATATCGTGTATGGCCGCCCCGCGCATTCACCACTGCCAAACACCGTCTCCTTATCGACTGCCTGATGCTTGTGAACACGTGGTTGGGGATTCTGCGCCATTGCTCTTGCAAGGCAGCGCCAAGTTCCTGCAAATTCTGAGGTTGGATCCTAAGACCACGAAGCCTTCTCCCAAGTGCATCCCAAACGTGCTCTATTGGGTTAAGGTCAGGGGACCTCGATGGCCAGTCCATGACGTTGATTCCAGCGTTTTGAAGGAAATTTCGTGTCAACATCGCGGTATGCGGCCGAGCATTATCATGCTGGAACTGTAGACCTGGGCCATGAGCCGCCATGAAAGGAACGAGTTCAGGGGTGATCACCTGGTCGCGGTAAGCAGCAGCTGTAGGTTTCCACGGATGACCAGAAGTCGGGAAAGGTTGTTCCCACAGAAAGCACCCCACACCATGCAACTTCAGCACCCGAATCTGTCGACTTCCTGTACACAACATTGGGCATACCGTTCACGACGTCGTCTCCAGACTCTATGCCTGCCGTC